TGCGGGTGGCGGCCGTGGAGGTGCGCCCCGGAGGGCGATACCCCGAGGGGAAGGCCGAAGGCGTTCAACCCCGGAGAGCAGGAGGGTGAGGGCGACCGGGGATTGCCGCTGGGGTGGCACCCCGGTATCCACGGTCTCCCTCAAAATCCGGTGGTGCTGAGGTATGGGCACCTTAATCGGGCTCGTGCTGTGGAAAACACACGTTTTCGAGGGGGAAAGGTGGCTGCGAGCCAGCAGAGGGGTCGGGTGTGCGGCGGTCGGTGCTGCTGAGGAGCCTGTGGGCAGATGGTGGGCTGAGGGACGCCGAGAGGAAAGCGGTAGGGCGTTTCTCATTAGAGGGGAAGAGGAGCTGTATATAATATAATAAAACAGGTTATATGTTTTTGTGTGGAATTAAATAATACAGTGATTAGAGTTACACTAGAGTTTAAAGGAAGACTGCCTTTTTAGCTTGAATTTCCACCAATATAGCTTAAACCTTTCACTAGCTTTCAGTCAATACAAGAAAACAGCTTTAATAGGGTTAGCATTAACTGATTTTAGTTCTTGAGGCAGCATGACAGGTTATGCTTGAAATGCCTTTTGTTAAAAAAGTGTAATGTGAAATTAGTGGTTCTTTAAAGAAGTAAAGGAAATATGGTACAGATAGTGCCAATGAATAAAGTCCTTTCATATATTGAGGGTGACACAACACTCAAACATACAAATAAAGCACCCTGAACACAGAATATAAATTAGTATAATTCCCCAGTCGTATTCTTGATCCATAATGTGAATGAGCTATCACTCTGCATAAATTTTTAAGTTACAAAGATGCTACTGCACTTCCACCTGCCTGTCTCCTCTTTTGTACCACTGAGCAGATGAGAACTCTTTTCTCCAACTTCCCTTCCCTGCCTGTAAATCCCTCCAGTTGAATTATCTAGGTCTGCCAAGGTACCTATCAGATAATGAGGGGCTTAGATTTGACCTAGGAAGGCATGGTTACCTGTTGCATGCTAGCTGAGGTTAGGAAGCTATGTTCAACTTTCAAATGTATATGTCTTTCCAAAGGCTTAGGAAAATTCATAGATTCATAGATTTCTAGGTTGGAAAAGACCTTAGAGATCATCGAGTCCAACCATCCCTAATCCACATTAAACCATATCGCTAAGTAGATCATCCACCCTATTCTTAAACACATCCAGGGATGGGGACTCAACCACCTCCCTGGGCAGCCTATTCCAGGGGCTGACAACCCTTTCAGAGAAGAAATACTTCCTAACATCCAACCTGAATCTCCCCTGACTAAGCTTATACCCATTTCCTCTTGTTCTATCACCCAACACTGATGTAAAGAGCCCTTCCCCTACCTCCCCACCATCTTTTCTCAAGTATTTGTAGGCTGTAAATAATCCTTTCAAGGACAGTCCAACAGAACTAACCAGCTGTCCCAACCACCATAGATTTAACACAGCCAAGCGTTATTTTACCAACTCAGAGCTCAGCTGGGTAAAAAACCCCTAATAATGAGGAAGGTCACAGAATGTATGTGGGATGTATCTCAAAGAATAACAATGTGGGATTAATACATATTTTTCACTGAGATGATTGTCCATATATGTTATACTTACTGAAGCTTTCAGGCAGTAACTATGGGTAAGTACATACAGTATGCACAATAATGACTTAAGAATAACATTGGCTTTTCTTGTTTCACTGTATAACTTTGAGAAGATAGAAAATGAATCATTTGATTAGATGAAAATGAAAGAGAATTTTTAGTAAAGAGCCAGGGTAAAGACTGTAATGCAATTTCTTTTCTTTGTGGAATACTATGTATGAAGGCATTTCCAGAAAGGATCAAATCTCTTCTTTTTACTGAAATAATGACCATTAAAAAGATGAATTTGATGGTCAGAAGGTGCAAACAGCAAAACGTGAGAGTAAAAGTATCCCCACAATGGGTGGTGGGGAGTGAAGACAGTGAGTTTTCACACAGAGCTGAGTATTTTAAGCAAGAAGTCGGTGGAGTAAGAAATAGAATTCCTAAATGAGATCACTTTGTACCACTGAACAGCAAGAAGAGATATTTCAGTGGCGAAGATAAATGAGATGATTTGCCCTCAAAGAGCATGCATCTCCAAACAGTGTGAAACTCCATAAAAGGAGCTTCGCTAACTAGCTTAGGCTTAGTTACCAGTGAAACTTCCTGTGGTGACGGAGAAGTCAAAAAATGAAAAAGTAGCACAAGTTCTGCAAGCCAGCAGTGAGGAATGCTGCTGGAATCTGGTATTAGAAGCTAAAGGGCTATGGATGATCTAGAGGTTGGAGGTGCCTTTCCTCTTTTCTTCTTTGAGGTGGGCAATTACTGAGTTTGTAGCTTAGCTGTACTTATAGAAAGACTGCTCTAACTCTTCTGAAGACTAGAATCCATCTGTTTTAATTTATAACCCCAATTTGTATGACTAGTTTGTTTTTATTTGTTCTTGCACCAACACTGGTCCTTTTACCTTACTTTCAACAGCTAATTTTCCTCCTTAGATTTTCACCGAGTTTCTGAGTTACAGTACTTTCTCTTAGACTTCACTTTGCTAGGGTAAACAAGTTTAGTACCTCTAGTCTCAGCCTGCAAGTTCATAATTTCTCTTACCATCTTAGTATCCATTATTTGCCTGTGTTCCAGTCTGAGCTTGTTCTTAAGTAGATTTGATGCTATATCTAAGGACATTTCACCAGGACCCTTTACAATGGCATTATGAGTCCTCATCTCTTTTGGAAGTTCCTCAACTACTGCATTCTAGGATTACCTTTTTCAGATTGTATTAGGGATTGTTGTCACCTTGTAATTGAATAATACAACCAATTTTTAATCTATTGCTTTGATTTTTCAGCTGATGAGTTTGTAGCTTTCTGCAGGATTTAAGCATATAGTATTGCAGTTTGCCCTTATAAAATCAAGTTCCGTTTCTAAAGAGAAAAAATACTTGTAGCACGCAGTCTCTATCCTTTGATTCCTGTCCTCTTCTTTTTTGCAAAGTAGTTTCTGAACCTCATAGCAAATTTGAACCACATTTCACAGAGGGTTGTGGTCTTGGAAATAATTAAGCTCCTACAAGTTTTGTTAAACATGAAGGAGTTGAATGGAGGGGAAAGCAAAATGAGTGCCCTTGCTGAGGTAAAGGTAGGCATATGAACCACAGATCATGTTCTGTAGCAACCAGCTGGCCAAGTGTTTTGTTCATACCGTGCTGGCTAATTAGAACATGAGTAACCTCAGCCTTGCCCAGTAGGTGTTTTGTGGAGAAGGTGGACAGCAGAAGATTAAGGAACAAAGCATGTAATTCCATAAGAAATCAGATCTCATTACTTTTGCCACTCATGAACTCACAAGTCAGATGAGAAGGTTAGGAAGCCCGGGGCAGAGTTTGTGGTTGCAGGGACTTCCAGGTGGTGCCTGTTGACCTGCAACTACTCTGCCGTGCCTGCCCTACACCTGGCTGGGTTCTGAGAACTGCATTCTTCAGCAACAAAAGTCTTTGCTCACTCCCTTGTGTGATATGAATCTATTTCTGTTCCTGCTGTCTGCTCATAGTCCCTGTGCTCTGTAGCCTTCTGCACATATTCAGACACATATTGTCTGTAGCAAGTCATTACTGCAGTTATTGCATTAATAGTTAAGCTCTGGATGATTCCCTTGGCTGCGTTCAGGCTTGTCTTGCTGGATGAGAAGAAGTCATACCTTCTTACAGCAGCTGTCACTAAAAAATAAGCACCTAGGAACTCCCTCACTTAGCCAGACTGAAGGATATTTAACCACCTTTTGCTTTTACCAGATTTGATTGATCAATGCTATTAATACCTCCTAGCACAAGAGTATAAATGGATTTCTTAGAAAATTTCATCTGAAAGCTAAAATTTTAAGTAATCGCTTAAAGAATTATGGAAGTATTCTCTTGGTGACTCAAGATCAGGGTGTAAAAACTTCCAGGCAATAAAAGTCGTAATGTATTCTCAAAAGCAGCTTACTCAGGAACTGGGTCCACCCAGAGATGGCATTTGCACCATCTTTGGCTAATTCTATGAACTAGTAGTAGTGCGTTTATGTACTAGTGACTTTTTCCTGTAAGTTATTTTTACATTTTTAATGTAAAAGACCTTTTATAAAACAATAGGTGAAATGTTTGCC